TTGGGTAGCCGAGTGGTAACACTAGAGGACTGACTCTAGAACGTGTACGGGGAGATTGAATACGAACAACCCTGAAATACTAGCAGCATGAACCGTGGAATATATGGATCAGTAAACTACACCACAGCCTTCTCCAGATAAATAGAGAAGACCATGACTACACATAGGAAAGTCAACATCACAGTAAACGTAGATATATTAGAACAAGAAACAAGTTCCTCCTTTCTTGGGCACATAATTACAGATGTTGGCAGAAGTAAAGGGAAGTAAAACACCCCTTTGCACGCCTTCATTTGTAAAGGGCATATAGGGCTAGACCTGTATTTTATAGCCCAGTCTGCACTCCATGGGTAATGTGGTCCAACCATGCCGACCATCTTTACTTCCTAGGACGGTACCTAGTACCATTTTAAAGCTGGGTCCATCTGGTAGCCGAGGCTATATTTGGCAGGGGAAAAAAACAGTCCCTTTTGATGGCAGAAGGAAAACTGAAATCACAAATAGAACAGCAGTGGCTAAAACGTCTTCTTCTTCTTCGCGTTCGCCTGCTGTAAACTTTGGCGGGAAAAGTTCTGGTTGTTCTTCCACCTCTGGATTCTAGTCCTGTTCCAGAAACGGTGGCCAAAACTGTTTTCAATAAGATTCGAAAATTGTTGCCAGCTAGTGACATAAACAACACATTCAACATGAGAATGCAGTGTTGCCACTTTTCTTTGACAAAAAATATCCAAAACGGAGTCAGAAATATCTAAAAACATCTAAATTTGCGTGGAAAACATCTAGAAAAAAACATCCAAATAGAAAGAGACAAATTACATAGTTATTGATATGACGTACCCTAAAGAATCATGTCCCCATCTTTACTGAAGTCTGCCTTACAAGATCCACAGGATAAACTAAGCTTGGATGATGAAGTTGAAGCTTCAGATCCAAAATGACTGGTATGCTTTAGCTGTTCCAGTTTCTTTTAAAACACAATCAGGGAGCTGATAAGTGGAACAGCATTTTCCTAGTCTTATCTGGCCGAAATGTATTGTCAAGATAGCATTTACGAGGTCAAATTGTATCCTGTTTCTTATGTTAGATTTGATAATTCTCTCCAGGTCTACCATCTAAACGTCAAAAACGCCATCTAAATGCAAGGGAAAACATCTAAATCTGGATGTAAAATATCCAAAGTGGCAACACTGGTCATATGTTAAGCATGGGAGTCGCTGTGGCGTGCGGGTCGGAAGGTCGTGGGTTCTCTCCCTGACAGAGCCGGACTTTTTTTTTCAGAAATGACCTTGACTCTCAGGTCGACCCAGCCTTGAGTGGGTACTGGGTGCAGTCCCGGGAAGTTAAGGCGGCCGGTATGATGCTGACAATACTACCCATCCTGTGCCGATTGGTCTATAAAAATATATGCCCTTTTCACCCAAAGACATGGAAAAGGGACCTTTACTGTATATGTTATGCATACTCAACCTTGCTGTATGGTGCAGAAACTTGGGCAGTGAACGGGCGAACCAAGGACTAACGGAGCGGCATGCGATAGTTTAGCCACAACACTACCGTGGCTCCTTATCCGTTTGAACTCCTGACAAGAGGACCATATGTGTGTGCTTCTATCCCGCCAATCAGACAAGTCTTATATGATTCTGACACTGTTTCCTTGTTTTAACCCCCCTCCCCCATTTCATTTCACGACTTTTCAATTATGAGACTGTTTCACTACTTTCTACCCTCTTATGATAATCGTCCCATTAATTTCTTCCCCAAAGGGAAGCCATTCAAATAGAAACCCCCCTACAGTCTCTAGTTTGTCTAGCAGAAACTGCTGAGCCATTGTGTAAGCAAGAGACAGCTCCCACACAGACAGCAGTCCGCCCTGTTCACAGATAACGTCTGCCATGAATCGTGCTCACTCACTGACTCACGGGAATCTCCACGCCTGCCATCAGATTACACTCTGTGTTGTGTCTCGTCTTACAGTCTGTGGTCCTCACTAACACTGCTTATCTCTCTCTCTCTCCCTTCACAATGGAGACACAGAACGTCTCTCACTTGGTGCTTACCGCTTGGTGTTTATGCTGTTGTAAATGAGGCTTTTGTTTCCTACATCATGGGAAAAAAGGGGGGGGGGGGGGGCTCTCATCTTCTTAAACAATGGTTTCCAGCCTGGGGACGGAAGGAGGTTTCAAGGGGACGTCAGTCATCATCATCAAGTTCCTTGCCAGCTGGCGTAGGCCTTCATGCGTCGCCACAAATCTTGGTCTTTGGTGTTCTGGATCAATTCTACTGATGATATTCCTCCATGCCTCTGTCTTAAGCCATCCACCATCGTTTCTCTTGGTCTGCCTCTGCCTCTGCCTCTTCTACCAGTGATCTTTCCAGTTGTCACAATAGTTTCCACTACTTCTTTTCTCATCACCTGACCAAAGAACGTTGTCTCCTTCTCATTGTTGTAAATAATGTTCTACTTTTATTAGCCATTTCCAAGCACTCTGTGGTGGAAATGCGTCCAGCAGTTTTAAAATTGGGTTTATGTGTATTTGTAATAATCCGTTATATTTTTTCCCCAGTTTAATTAAAAATAAAATAATAAACTGTTTTAAAAACACTTTAAAGTTTAAAATGCTGAGGACATTTTTTTTTTCATAAGCAACTTTTATATCTACAGTTACAATTTAATTAATATAATAAAACAGGCAGAGCATTAAAGATTAAGAACAAATTCGGACCAAAATGTATCTCCAAACTCTCTGTTTGCCTTTTTGGGGAGTCTATGGTTTGCCCACTTAGAATGCCTTGTGACACCATACCATACAAACCATACATGGGAAGAGAAGAAGGACGTAGAGCACGGGGTAGACCAAGAACAAGATGGAAGGATAACATCAGAGAAACTCTTTAACGGCACGATGTGCCTATGGTCGAGGCGGCCAGAAGAGCTAGAAACAGAACCTTATATCTCCCTCGACACCCACAGCGGTAAAAGAGGAAGTGAAGAAGAAGAAGTAGAAGATTGTTCTCCTTTTTTTAATCACATTTGTGTTATGTTGGTGGGAAGGATTAAGGCACTAGAACAGAAAATAACTACATGTGTAATGTGCTGTCTCTGCAAGGTCACTAACAACACTAGAAGAGACACAGTTAGGAATACCAGCATTAGAGAGAAAGTTAGAATAAGACCATGTTTGGATTATATTTTGACAGACAAAGAAGGAAATGGTTCGGCCATCTAGTAAGAATACAGCCAGGCCAAACTGCAGGTGAGAATTTTTACAGCAGAACATCTGGGAGGAAGGCGAGAGAAAGACCAAGGCAGAGATGAATAAATGGCGTAGCCCAAACCTGCACAAAGATGGACAAATTTGCTACCCAAGCCACCCGAGAAGTGCAAGAAAAATACAACCACATATTAGTGTTATCAGTGAGATGACAAAAGAAGAAGATGAAGTGGCGGCAGGGGTCATTGGAGTCTTGCCATACTCAAGGGGATGTCAGGATCTTACAGTATGCTCAAGTGAGGCATAGGGGTGTTGCTTGTACTTGTATGGGAATTAAAGGGGGAAGGGGGGGGGGGGGGTGACCTAAAAAACAGTTTGGAGACCACTGCATGCTTTAAAAGATTCTCAGAATGCATAATCCATATATCTGAGTATAGTTATGTTTCGGTTGACTGACATACTAACCACATTACCACTATGATGTATGATTTTATCTTTTTGTGCCCCCCCCCCCCTTTTTTTTTTTAAAAACCATTACTACTTGTATTTACCACTTTGGTGGTGTAGGTGGGGTCTTTGAGTATGAAGATTCAATTAGTCCACTTAGACTCTCCAGCTATGACTTTATTGACACCCCCAACCTCTTTTGTGGTGTGAACACAAAAGGGGAAGGGTTGTCTGGCCTTTAAGTATGGAGATTTAGTGCAGTCACCACTGTGCAGTTATGATGTTTTTTGCACCCCCCCCCCCCTCCCCCAACCCAACATTTAAAAAACAAACCTAACCTGACTGAGGGTCCTAACCAGCACCTGCTGTATGAGAGTCCAGGTGTTCTGCTAGCTGCTTGTCTTTGTACTGAAGAGAGACATTACATTCATCTCACTCATATTCTAGCCACAAAAAACAAGGTGGAGTATCCAGTTCCTTTACCCATTACATTTCCTTCCTAGGCAATCATCAATCAATCAGGTGCCATCTCCACAATGAAGGTTGGCTGCAATGGATCTCCAACAAGCCCTGTCTCTTGCCCTTGATGTACACTCACTCATACTGCTGTTTGTCCATCTCTTGATGTTATCCTCCCACTTGTAACGCTGTCTGCCTTTTGCTCGCCTACCTTGAACCTGTCCCTCTAGGATGATCTTTACAATACTGTTATGTCTTTTAATGTGGCCAAAATATTTCACTTGTCTCTTTTTTTTTTTCACCTAGCAACTCTCTTTTCATTCCCAATTTCCTCAGTACCTCTGTACAAGGCAATCATGCATCTCTACAAATCACAATCCCTGGTTGCCGACAGCAGCTCTCTTGATGTTATACCTCCATGCCATCGTTTCAGTCTATCCAGTAACATATATATATATATATATATATGCGGACTGGTGTCAATATGTATCATATACTTGATACTACTTGTATCTTGTTTGTTTGATTTCACCAGTTATAAATTCTGGTGGAAACTCCTGGGTTTCCATTTACTTTTGGAATATGGCTTTGTTCCAGGACGAGTGTTGTTGCGTGTACATCAGTTTTACAGATCCGGCTTATTTGTGTGCAGCTTGTTTGTTCCTTGCCTCTCAGGCAGATGCTCTTCGATTTTGGGGGACAAACATTTTGTGAAACAGTAATTCAGTCTATTGACCGACCAACCAGAGCTGAAACTAACCCTGTATGTGTAAGACACACCTTCTTACTGCAGCCGATACATTAATGTGTTGTGACGCACAGTTTGGACAGCTCTGAGTGATGTGTGTTTATAAACTATATTTTGTATTTATTACCCAACAGGAGACATGATGACACTGCTGATGAAGAAAGACACACTGACAGAGGAGCAGACTCAGTTCTATGTGGCCGAGGCAGTGTTGGCTATTGACTCCATACACAAGCTGGGCTTTATCCACAGGGACATCAAACCTGATAACTTGTTGCTGGACAATAAGGTCAGTGCTGTTGTATCTGAGCACAAGTTTTCAAGACTTGAATTCCAGCATTTTCTTTTCCTGAGGGATTTGAGTTTTGGGGGGAATGAGGGGGCAGGAACTGTCTGTTCAAAAGTGCCTTGAATTGTTTCAACCAAAATGTTGTTCTTCTTTCTTTTTTCTGAAGTAAGTAATATATTTCTGCCATTTTGTCTCTCCTGTAAAGTAAACTGGAGTTTTTATTAGTTCATCCATTGGTCCAGAGAGTTAACTTGCCACAGTGTCATATTTGGGGCATGTGTTCAGTTGTCTGGGCTGACATTCCACATGTGCTGATACATCGTAAATTGCCTATTCTTGCGCCTCTCACTTCACTACAGGGGAAGAAAAAGAAAAGGAGTTGATGAAGGCAAATGAGGAGATGAAGAAGTGAAAAAGAAAGAAAGGGAGGGAGGAAGAAAGGAAGAACAATGTAATTGATTGTACCCTAGCCAATATGTTGTTTTGATCTTTAATGTCACAGCAAACTTCACTATCATTACTATTTTTTTTTTTTTTTTTATAAGAGAAGATGGTTGGTTATGTACTCTGCTGTTTTCTGTGACCACACAGCACATTTGGAATTGTATAGTTATTGTTATGCTATGCACCATATGTTCACAGAAGACATCTGTTCTTTGAGGCTGAAGTCTTCATCTTCTTCATGTTCACCTCGACTGGCTGTAAACTCAGGTGGAACGTTCTGGTTGTGTTCACTTTTGAACTTTAGTCTTGATTCACAATTTGAGTTTTGAACGCTTATTTTTTTTACAGATCTGGTTCATTTTTATGCAGGTTGTTGTTTCCTCGCCTCTCAAGTAGATGCACCCTGACTTCCAAGGACACAACCCTAGTGCATCAGCTTTTACGGCATCCTTGTTGTCATCATGGACTCGAGTTTTCTCCCTCTCATGAACTTCTCTTCACCTGCATCCTTTCTCTCTTTCTTTTAAATATTCTTTCATAAGATATTGTGTCTTTCTTCAGCATTTGTTGATAAATAGTCTTCAGAATCTCTGCCTTGTCCAGCATGGGTGTTTCTGCTACGTTGACTTTTGTCGTCAGAAAATTTGTGGTAAAAAAATACGTAATTGGGGTTAAAAGAAAATATATTGTAAGAAGATATTGGGTCCAACCCACACACAAAAATTTTTCCCCAAAAAAATTATCAAAAATATATGGTAAGAAAATATCTAGTCAGAGAATATTTGGTCAGAAAATATGTGTGTTCTTGTCACTTGCTTTTTTAGTCAGAAAATGACAGGAGTCTAATTTCATATCCACATAATATTTCTTACAAAAGACAGTAAACAAATTACCTGAAGCATTAAGCATTACAGTGTATGAGACGTGTGCAGAAGATAGTTCTAAAATTATATTCAGACATTGATGTTGTTAGGCAGCCAGGAAGATTTACCAGGAGGAGGAAGAGGAGGAGGAGAAAGAAGAAGAAGAAGATGTTTCTGTATTCAGCATTATTGCCTTGTGTCTGCAGGGTCACATCAAGTTGTCAGACTTTGGTTTATGTACGGGTATGAAAAAGTCCCACCGGACGGACTTCTACAAAGATTTGTCATCACACTCAAAAGCCTCAACCAACTTTGGCAAGGACCTCGCAAGTAAGTCTGCCTGTCCCGGTCAGCTGTTACTTTCACGCAGTCGGTTACTAATTTATTTCTTTTTTTTTTAAACTCTTAGCCAGGGGCTTCAACTCTTAGCCAGGGGCTTTAACTCTTAGCCCGGGGCTTTAACTCTTAGCCCGGGGCTTTAACTCTTAGCCAGGGGCTTTAGCTATGAGCCAGGGATTTTTTTTTTTTTTTGATTAAAAAAACATATGCAGATATTCACCACAAAGTAACTAAAAATGGTGGAGGTCTTCTTCTTCTGCCTTTCTATCCCCCAGTGGAGCATAGGCCCTCAACCAACTCACACCAATTCATTCTATTCTTCGCTACTACGTGGAGCTCCCCATCTTTCTAACTTCATTCTCCAGCTCTCTTCTCCATGTGGTTTTTTTTTTGTCCTTTCTTTATTAACATTTCAGGTGCCAATTCTGAAGGTTTTCCTAGCTGAGTGGTACATACTTCTGCTTGAAGAGCCTCCCCTCATCTTGGTCCACTTCTGAATTGTGGTCTTGTTTCACAACTTGAGTTTTAGGTGCACATCTGTTTTGCAGATCTGGTTTATGTGTATGCAGACTCTTGGTTGCTCATTTCTCCGGCACATGTACTCCTACTTTGAAAGAAACACCCCTAATTAGTCATCTTTTACAGCATGCTTTAGAGATGACAGTGAGACCATTCTTGTTCCTCCCAAATGGGGCCCACAAAGTCACACAGGTAAGGCTTTAATTAATGTGAGAAATGTCTTTTTTGCAGATGGAAACCCTATGGACTCTAAGAGAAAAGCAGAAAGTTGGAAGAGGAATAGACGAGCATTAGTGAGTGTTGACATTTCAGTGTGAAGTTTTATACTTTTATTGTTTGTGTTATTTTTTATATATATATATAATAATTATTAACAGACATACAGTGTATTGTGCTCTACCCCAACCCCCAAAAGTTAAACTGTGTTGTGATCAGGCACATAACACAAAACTACACACACAAGACAAATAGTGTATTGTGATCTAGCAAAACATAAATAAATAGTATTTTGTGATTTGACAAAAAACACACACACAAAAACACAAACAGAATGTTATGATCAGGCAGAAAACAAACAGTGTGTTGTGATCTGGCAAACACACCACAAAACACACAAACAACCAGTCTGTTTGCACTCTTGTTGCACATATACAATCAACTTGCTTAACACACAATGTGTGCTGCTGCATGGACCAACATTCCTGTAATCACTGGATCTAGCTCCACACAAAACCCAGCCATCGCTGTCGGCGGCCCCTCCACAACCGACACAAGCAGTGTTGCCATCTCAGAATGGGTAATGTTAAATGCAAGACCTTGTATTTTCCTTCCGTGTGTGGGTTCTAGGACCCCCCCCCCCCCCCCCCCTTCCATTGTGGGGGAAATAAGAATAGACCCACTGCCTCCCCAACAAGCTTGTCATAGAAGTCGACTAATTGGAAGTTTCCTTCAAAGTCAGAATGCATCTGCCCCACCGGCAAGGAACAACCAACTGCACACAAATAAGCTAGTAAAATGGATGTACATGCAAAACTCAGGCCCTTGCACAAAGCCAAAATCCAAATGAACAAACAACCAGGACTTTCAGTCGGTGAACAAAGGAGACGAAGATGTATATGCCAGATTCACCAAAGGCATGAAAAAGGTTCTTTACTTACTGTGTGGATTTAAACCTAATACTTTATGGCCGGCTGGCTAATGTTTTGTATTATGGGCTCAGTAATGTGATTGTCCTGTTCCTAGAATATCTTTCACTTTTTATTGACCTCTTCTCTGATAGGCTTATTCAACAGTTGGGACCCCGGACTACATTGCTCCAGAGGTCTTTATGCAAAACGGATACATGAGCTCATGTGATTGGTGGTCATTAGGTGTCATTATGTATGAGATGCTGATTGGTTAGTATATTTGTGTCTGTTGAGATTCTAGTAATTTATCTGTGTGTTTTTCTAAAGTCAGGGTCAGTCTCTGCAGTCATTTAAAGATGTGTGCGATTGGGACATGAAGGATACGGGTATCGAGATGGATTTATGTAAACAAGATACAGTGGATCACATTGCGTAGTAATTATGAAGTGAATAAGAATGAAGGAAAGAGAAAGGTTGCAGACAAGTTAAGACATGAGCTACCAAGAAGAAACATGATGGCAGCAATGGTCTGGAAATCTCATGCCCTTACTGTGGAAGATTCTTCTTAAAGCGAACAGGTCTTGCTAGTCGCACTCACCTCAGACTGTGATTGCCCTATAGCACAGTGGAACACTGTCTTCTGGAAAGATAGAAAGGTGCCAAAAACAAGAAAATAGCTTTTATAAAGTTACATTACAGATAGACAATTGTTGGTTTGATCCGCATTAATCACAGTATGGATGCAAATTATATCTGAGATATTTTGTTGAATGAACAAAGTTTCCCGTGTGGGTTCTGGGGTCCCATAGTGGGGGAAACACCACTGCCTCCCTAACAAGCATGTCGACTAATTAGGATATTCCTTCGAAGTCAGAGTGCATCTATCCGAGAGGCAGGGAACCTACAGTCTGCATACAAATAAGCCAGATCTGTAGAATGGATGTGCACGCAATACTTCATTTCTGGGGGTGGGCAAACAACCAGAACTTTCCGCCACAGTTAACAGCATGTGAGGAATAAACGTACTGCCCCATAACAAGCATGCCATAAAAGGCAACTTAGTCAGGGTTAGCTTACATTTGATGTCTTGTTAGGTTGAAAAGTGCAGATATTGCAGTCTAGCTATAAACATAACACAATCAACCAGTCACCTTTTGTCAAAAGGCCCCCCCAAAAAAACTTGTAGGTTAAAGAAGAAATTCTTAGAATCTGCATCAAGAAGATGAAAAATGAAGACATTTATCCAGACTTGAACATTACAGAAAACTGACTGTAAACAGCATCATGTTTTGCAAACTGAAATAGCTAGGTCATAATAGTGCTGAGGTAGTTTAGACAGAACAGATAGCAGTGGTAAGCATCTTCCTGGAAGAAGCAGGGATTTACCAGCATGAAGGTGGGCAGAGGAAATCAGAGACAGCTTGCACATAAAGGTGCATGTGGTAGAAGAATATGTTTGGGATCAAGAGTCTTCCGGTAGGTCACAATGAGAATATCGCTCATGAAAAGACTTGATACATGAAAATGATGATGGTGAGATAACAACTGTCATACCAGACAGTCTGTTCTGTGGTTTTGCTGTGAAGGCTTAGCTGATGACATCCCTACTGTTCATGTTTCTGCAGGGTACCCACCATTCTGCTCTGAGAATCCTCAGGAAACCTACAGGAAGGTGATGAACTGGCCTGAAACTCTAATATTTCCTCCAGAAATGCCCATCTCAAATGAAGCAAGGGATCTCATAAAAAGGTACATACAAGAGTATTATTTTCCTACAAAATCTTCTCACAACAAGCTGTAGATTTTTGTGAAAAGGATACATACTGCTGGTGACATCACTGGTGTTGCCTAAACATACATAGAGCTGGTGACATCACTGATGTTGCCAAGAGATACATAGAGCTGGTGACATCCCTGATGTTGCCCAGAGATACATAGAGCTGGTGACATCCCTGATGTTGCCCAGAGATACATAGAGCTGGTGACATCCCTGATGTTGCCAAGAGATACATAGAGCTGGTGACATCCCTGATGTTGCCAAGAGATACATAGAGCTGGTGACATCACTGATGTTGCTGGGAGATACATAGAGTTTGTTACATTACAGATTTTGCCAAGAGTATAAGAGCTGGTGACATCACTCATGTTGCCCAGAGGAGCCATAAAGGAGTTGTGCATAGGATAGACCCATGGTGCTGTCTGGCTGTATTCATGTGGTTCATCCAGACCTCTGCATTCCTGCAGGTATTTTGAACTGCTATTGCAGTGCACATTGGAACCCTCTTCTAAGTATGTGTTGCACCTTGTAATTTAGAGATATTACTTGTAAGTAGATTCATTTGTCAGAAGTGAAGGCAGCATGTGTCGGCTGGTATGCCGATGTTCAGTGAGTTTTGCTAGTGTATGCATAGTCGACGTCGACTGACACTGTTCATTTATCATTCAAGTATCTTCTTCTTCTTCTTCAGCATTCCAAGCTCTTGAGGTTCATTGCTGCAGATATCACCGGCCTCCATTCATCTCTGGTTGGCCTTCTCTTTCCAGTTGGTGACACTAAGTGTTTGCAGGTCTGTCTGGAAATCATCCCTCCATCATCTTCTTGGTCTGCTTTGTGGTCTATGGCCATTCCTCTGCCTTGTGTTAACAGTTTTTACTTCTCTATCTCACAAGTACCTCTGGGTAACATCAGAAAGGCAGAAAGTCAGACCCTTTTCAATTAACAACTGGTTTAAAGCAAGGTGATGCTCTGTCATCGCTGAGGTTTATCATGTATCAAGTATTTTCATGAGCGTTGTTTTCATTGTGACCTACAGGAAGACTCTTGAAGACTCTTGACTATTTCATTGTTGCTTCTCACTCTCCATTCACCGCTGTTTGCATCTTTGATGGGTCCAAAGATGTGGACATCATGTACAGATTCATGTATCTGCTGGGGAATAAAGAGGATGTTCAGTTCACACAGTTTAGCTTGATGACTGCTGTACACCAGGTTGTGATAGTACCCCGTGGACCTTTTATAATGACTGTGTATCGCATATGCATGTGTTACTTGGGTAGAGTATCAGAGCCTAGACTTTGACCCCACAGTACAGCTGGTAACGGTGTTGTTTTGGAGATCCATGAGGGTGAAACTGAGCCATCTTGGATAAAACTTGATGCCATAAATTGATGATCTCACCTTTATTTAACATTTTTGTCATTGCCTATCGCTCTCCTAATTCATGTGTGTTTAAATTTTGATAATCGAAGTTGACAGCCAGGATCCTTTCCTCTTGCAGGTTTTGCTGTAATCCAGAAAATAGGATAGGTGCTAACGATGTAGAGGAGATCAAGAGCCATCCATTTTTCAGAGGTGTTGATTGGGAACACATCAGGTAAATGGGTTCTTTGATTTGCACTGGGTTTCCAAGGTCAGGAGGTTAAGCCGTTTGGGTCACATTCAGTTCACAAGAGCAGCTTTTACAGAGATCCCTGTGTCACATTCAGTTCACAAGAGCAGCTTTTACAGAGATCCCTGGAGATCTTGCTGTAGCTGTGGAGTTTGTGCTTTGTACGATGCTTTTGGCAGGTGGCTAGTCATTCTGCTGTGAGAGACTGAGCCATATAGGATACACCTGTAGCAGTGATGTTGATCCTCTCAACTTAAAACTTTGTTTGCAGCAGATTCAGTTTGTCATATTATCAAACTGCCACTGGCACCATTATGTCAGAACTCTGCGCTGGCTGCTGAGGACACAGACTGAGTCGATTTCTTCATTTGTAAAATTATGGGTCTTTCACCATAAGCCTAATGTGTCACTGGCGTGAAAAAGAGTCCTTTACTAGTCTCTGTCTGTCTTTTCTTCTGCACTATCTTTTTGAGGTGCAAAGGCTGTCAGCCAGCTTAGGCCAAGTCATCCTTTTCTTTGGTGTCATTTGCAGCTTATTCTAAGGCCCTCTCTTCTTTTTCACTTGTCTAAGTGCCATCTCTATTATTAATTTTTAATTAGTTTTTTTTTTTTTCGGGGGGAGGGGGCGGTTATGGTCAGTGGGTTATATGTTCAGGTACATTGCAGTCACATTGTTGTCAGCTTTTCTTACTGTCTTTTCTATCCAAAACCAGCATTTTTTTCCCCCTCACCTCCTGATTTACTGGAATTTGTTTAGTTCTCTCCCAAAGCTCTACCTTATTGATCCTGACATTTAATTCCCTATATTCTGTGCAGGCAGTTATTGAATGTTAATAGTTTAGCATAAATGATTTAGTTGTTCTCCTTGTTTTAGCTGCATACATTAGATGTCTTTCTCTGAAGCTAATTAAAATGAGAAGAAAGTTGATGGTAGGTAGTCGGCAGCCAAATCTTGCAATGCCTACTTGGGTAGCACGAAGGCCTTCTTGTGTTGAATATGTTTCTTGTGTATTGAGATGAAAAACAGGTTGGCTACTCCCATTGTTCAGGAATGAACAAGTTAAACTAATTACAGTTACTGTAACTGTTTGATTAACATAAACATTAAATCTCGTTTCTTCTTCTTCTTTCTCCTCTTTCTCTTCGCTCTTTTTTTTATCTTCTTCTTTTTCCTCTTTTTTGGAGCATATGCTAGCAGTCAACTGTCACTACACCTTAGAATTAGTTATAACTGGTAAATTTTTGTGTCTGAAGCTTTTAATGGGAGACAGTAGCCAAGGACAAGACCAACCCTTCTCTCAATGCCTTTTGTGACATGCTTGGTAGGGTGCAGTGGTAATGTTTGCTTCTTCCTTTAAGGACCCTAGTAACATACAAGATCATATGATCAGTTTAGATATAATTAGAATGTAACAGAAGAATTAACACATAAGAAGTTAAAGAAGATGTGTCATGTGTAGAGCAATGTGTGATGGTCTGATGCTTGAAGTTGCCTGTTGAAATGGTAATCATTTTGTAAATGTGTCATTGTTTATGCATTGCCAGATGTAAAGGATGTGATCTGGGTAGCTTGGAAGAGTTGATAAAGGATGTGATCTGGGTAGCGTGGAAGAGTTGATAAAGGATGTGATCTGGGTAGCTTGGAAGAGTTGATAAAGGATGTGATCAGGGTAGCGTGGAAGAGTTGATAAAGGATGTGATCAGGGTAGCGTGGAAGAGTTGATAAAGGATGTGATCAGGGTAGCGTGGAAGAGTTGATAAAGGATGTGATCAGGGTAGCGTGGAAGAGTTGATAAAGGATGTGATCAGGGTAGCGTGGAAGAGTTGATAAAGGATGTGATCAGGGTAGCGTGGAAGAGTTGATAAAGGATGTGATCAGGGTAGCTTGGAAGAGTTGATAAAGGATGTGATCTGGGTAGCTTGGAAGAGTTGATAAAGGATGTGATCAGGGTAGCTTGGAAGAGTTGATAAAGGATGTGATCAGGGTAGCTTGGAAGAGTTGATAAAGGATGTGATCTGGGTAGCTTGGAAGAGTTAAAAAAGGATGTGATCTGGGTAGCTTGGAAGAGTTGATAAAGGATGTGATCTGGGTAGCGTGGAAGAGTTGATCAAGGATGTGATCTGGGTAGCTTGGAAGAGTTGATCAAGGATGTGATCAGGGTAGCTTGGAAGAGTTGATAAAGGATGTGATCTGGGTAGCTTGGAAGAGTTGATAAAGGATGTGATCTGGGTAGCTTGGAAGAGTTGATAAAGGATGTGATCTGGGTAGCTTGGAAGAGTTGATAAAGGATGTGATCTGGGTAGCTTGGAAGAGTTGATAAAGGATGTGATCTGGGTAGCGTGGAAGAGTTGATAAAGGATGTGATCTGGGTAGCTTGGAAGAGTTGATAAAGGATGTGATCTGGGTAGCGTGGAAGAGTTGATAAAGGATGTGATCTGGGTAGCTTGGAAGAGTTGATAAAGGATGTGATCTGGGTAGCGTGGAAGAGTTGATAAAGGATGTGATCTGGGTAGCTTGGAAGAGTTGATAAAGGATGTGATCTGGGTAGCGTGGAAGAGTTGATAAAGGATGTGATCTGGGTAGCGTGGAAGAGTTGATAAAGGATGTGATCTGGGTAGCTTGGAAGAGTTGATAAAGGATGTGATCTGGGTAGCTTGGAAGAGTTGATAAAGGATGTGATCTGGGTAGCTTGGAAGAGTTGATAAAGGATGTGATCTGGGTAGCTTGGAAGAGTTGATAAAGGATGTGATCTGGGTAGCTTGGAAGAGTTGATAAAGGATGTGATCTGGGTAGCGTGGAAGAGTTGATAAAGGATGTGATCTGGGTAGCGTGGAAGAGTTGATAAAGGATGTGATCAGGGTAGCGTGGAAGAGTTGATAAAGGATGTGATCTGGGTAGCGTGGAAGAGTTGATAAAGGATGTGATCTGGGTAGCGTGGAAGAGTTGATAAAGGATGTGATCAGGGTAGCTTGGAAGAGTTGATAAGGGATGTGATCAGGGTAGCGTGGAAGAGTTGATAAAGGATGTGATCAGGGTAGCTTGGAAGAGTTGATAAGGGATGTGATCAGGGTAGCGTGGAAGAGTTGATAAAGGATGTGATCTGGGTAGCGTGGAAGAGTTGATCAAGGATGTGATCTGGGTAGCGTGGAAGAGTTGACATGTAGACTCCATTATTCAGCTACTATAACAAGGACACATATCATGACTGACACCATGTAGTCTGATCTGCAAAGGACAGATTTATTTCACACTACATAGAATGCATTATAATTACGTTCTGTTACACCAGTAAGATTTGGTCCACTTGTGAAATGAAGGGGAGAGAAGGTGGCTAGAAAGAAAGAAGAAAAAGAACAAGTGTTTCTGTGTCATACATGTTACATGTAAAGCCAGCTGGTGTGGCTATACACATTCAAAGGTGATACTATCTGTGTTCATCAATAACCCATAGTTTTGAAATACTCAAATGACTTTGATGAGTGTGTTTTGGTTTGTTAAGGGAACGACCAGCTGTCATCCCTGTTGATGTCAAAGGCATAGATGACACGTCAAACTTTGATGACTTTCCTGAAATTGACCTCAAGCTTCGTAAGTTTTACTGTAACTTACTTTAATAATTATATGGAGAAACTGTTGTTTTGTGTTGAAACTTATTGTTTCTGATCCTTTATACTTCTGCCTTTAACTCCCAGTGGAGCATAGACTTACAAGCAACTCAAAGCTTTGCTTTTTGTTGACTTGCTAATTATTACGTTAGATTTTGCAGCTAAGGGAAACACAGGTTCACTTACAACACAGAAGTGGTCATTACAGATAGTATTGGAATTTTGTGTGTATGGATGGGTGGTGGTGGGTATTGTGTGTGTGGGTGGGTGGGGCAGGTGTTGTGTGTGGGTGTATGTGGATTGTGAGAGAGGGCAGGGTGAGTTGGGATTGTGTGTGGATGGGTGGGGGTTATGAGTGAGGTCAGGGTGAGTGGGGATTGTGTGTGTGAGTGTATGTGGCAGTTTTACATCTAAAGTTTTCCACAAGGTAGAGGTAACCAGCCTCACACAAAGCTCCTTATTCACATCTTGTAACATGCAACATAGGTTACAGTCTTACTGTTATCTGCATCCTTGATTTCCCCATGTGGGTTCTGGGCTCCATTTTGGGGTCGAAAGAACAGACCCATTGTTCCTACAGCTAGAATGCCATAAAAGGTGACTGATTTGGGATGTTTCCTTCAAAGTCCAAGTGCATCTGCCTAAGAGATGAGGAACCAACAAATAGTCTGCATAGGAATAAGTCATATCTGTAAAACAGTTGGGCATTCGGAACTCAAGATCTGAAGTGAGAAGACCTACTGAAGAAGCAAGAAGAGATTACATTAAACAAGAAGAAATGAGAAGAAGGCCAGAATTTAAACCAGTCATACAATTCATTAAAGATGATCGGATGAGAGTGCCCTGGTACCAGCTGCCACAGAGCACCACACTGAAGAAATATAATGAAAATAGATCAAGGGGAAGGACACACTAAAGATGGAATGCAGCATCAAGGATAACCTTAAAGAAATAAAGTAAAGTAAACAAAACAAAACCAAAAAGTTAAGAACTCTTTTGTTTTGCATGCCTTTAGGTATTTAGGGCTGACCTATGTTTTACAGACCAGTCGACACTTGGTAGGTGATGTGGCTGGCTGCCTTTACTTTCCAGGACTTTTACCTGGTACCCATGGAAAGCTGGATCAACCTGGGCGCCAAGGTCATTTTTTATTTAAAGTTAATTCTCCATCAGGACTAGAACCCACGACCTTCAAATCCACAGACACACATCTAGTCATTACACCACGGCGGCCCCCTTAAAGAAATAAAGAGCAACTTATATATACCATTTGAAGGAGCACACTGAAGATGTTTACAACCTCAATCCCCAACACTTCAATAAGGCAACAAGGGAGAACAGAAGAATTTATGAAGAAGACAGGTCTTTCTTCTAAATTTGCTGATCCCTTGTATTATCCCGTTCATCTTTTTGAGTTGTATTAAACGTTTTAAAATGTCCCTATGGAGTAGTAACAGTTCACTTAAAATTATTTTCAAAGCAGAAGAAATGTGGCTTTATTGATGAGAAAACCCTGGATATATAAAAATAGCAATGAAGAACTGATTACCCACATCAGAAGGAGTCCACATTCTTTGGTCATATCATGAGAAGGAGAAAACTGGAGAACATCGTGACAGTGGGAAAGTTGGAGGGGAAGGAAGCAGAGAAAGCCCAAGAGAGAAGACGCTGGACAGTTTGATATCATGGCATGGAAAATCATCTGCATCAGATGGTAATGACTATTCCCCGTGTGGGTTCCGGGGCCCTACTATGAGAAAAACAAGAATAGACCCACTGCCAACCCAAAAGCATTTCGTAAGAGTCGACTAATTGGGAGCTTCCTTTGAAGTCGGAGTGCATCTGCCTAAGAGGCAAGGAACCAACAGTCTGCATACAGATCTGTCAAATGGATGCACACGCAACACTCAGGTTCTGGAACAGGACTGCAATCCAGACGTGAACGAACAACCATAACTTTCTGCTGGAGTTTACAGCCAGTGAAAACAAAGAAGAAAGAAGAAGAAGGTTATGACTAAAGGTTATGGATAGACACGATTACCAAAGCCACATGGCATGGACTGTAAGGAGAAGAATGGTTCACCTGAAAAAGTACTAAAGCTGAGTGCATCTCGGTGTCCATGGCTAAATCATTCAACCCTTTGCCTCACACTGTGAAGTCTGGGTGTTCATTTGATAGACTGCATCATTCTGTGCATGGCTGGAAGTTTTACAAGGATCCCTGGGAATTGTTGCTGGGAGCTATGGAATTCCATAAAGTGAGAGCCAGACCATGAATGGATCCAGGTTTGCATGGACTAGAGGCAGATGACCTGACCTAAGTCTGAGGTATGAGATATCACTACACAAAGTTGGCCAAATTCTAGATGCTTGCCTGATGGCTCAGTCGTTTTGGATTGCAATCCTTCTTCACCGGCTTTACTCTGGTTAAAAGTTCTGGTTGTTTGTCCACTTCTGGACACTAGTCCTGTTCCATAACCTGAGTGTTGCCTGCACATCTGTTTTACAAATCTGACTCATTTGCAGGCAGACTGTTGACATCCTAGCCTCTCAGACAGATGCTCTTCAACTTCAGACGAAGCTCCCAATCAGTCGACTCTTACAACATGCTTTTGGGTAGGCAGTAGGTCTGTTCTTGTTTTCCCCATAATGGGGTCCCAGAACCCACAGGAGGAGGATTGGAATCCACAATGATGTGGATTTTGTAAAGGTTGACCTTGGCTGCCAGGTCGACACATCTAAATGGAGTATAGGGAGTGTGCTGGAAACTAGTATAGATGGCAGGCAGGATGTTATCATCAGCTCCACCTACCAAATGCTGATTGGTCTTTGAAAATATGGACCTGACGCCATTTGCCTGATGTAGCAGTGGCGGGAAAAGGATTCTTTGCATTCCATTTTTTTTTAAACTGTTTCTGTCCCAGATGGTTTTAGAGCAAATCATATCTGGCACAGTAATCACACTTGAAATAATCATCAGTCCAGGACTTTCAAAGATACAGCATATACTATGCTGCATTTAAAATATTTGACCAGATTTCTTTAGCATACCCAGGCCAGACATGAAAGAATAATAACACACAGTGTGCTGCTTTGATATGTTTGTGCATAAGCCATATGGTGCATTGTTTGGGACAGAAAGAGTTAATGGATCATTCACTTGGCCCATTTCCAAAAAGACCACATTTATAAAAAGTGAGAAAATATTGACTGACTATTTTTTTAAAAAATGTTTTGTGTAATGTCTTTTATATAACTGTTATCTTCAGCTGCCTCTCAGAATAATGAGGAGGAGTTCAAAGATCCCAAATACAAGGACTGGGTCTTCATCAACTACACATTCAAACGTTTTGAAGGCCTTACCCAGCGTGGACCGCGGCCCCCATCCCACAAGAGTTGAAGCCATACAGTGCGTCTGCTAGTGTGTCCAGGTGCGTGTTCAGTAGCACAGGCTGGCCAGGCTGGATGATGTTCAGAAGTGTATCCTCAGAGCTGCATTAATGTGCACTGGCCGTATCAATTTGTGTCCTGTAATATCCGTAGTTTTGGTTCAGCACATTAGCATACATACAGTCTGTTGGAAAATGTATAAACATTTTAATGGATGTCATTATTATATATATATTTTTTTTCTAAAGTTAGGTCGGGTTACTGTGGCAATGTGTCATATGATGTTCTCTCCACAAATGTCATTACTCGCATGAATCAAACTCGGGAAAAAACTGACCTTGACTCCCAGTCCTGTCCAGCTGAAATTGGAAACCATAAAATTCCCTAGGAAGTAAAAGCGGGTCAGTAGTGTTGACCATCGTCTATCCCGTGCTGATTGGTCTATGAGCCTAATGTCATACCCCAGTGTTTAGTGTTATAGCCAGTTGAAACATTCTCCAGAATCTCACTTGACACTTTAGTCAACCTTGCCTGAACAGTAGTTCACCATAATTGGTGCCTAGAAACTAATAGTAATCACCCTGAGCACCTTGTATAATTGCAGATGTCAAAAGTAACTTGTATTCCTCCTTTGACGTAGGTAAAAATTTAGGATATACATTGTTTGTTCAGCGTTTTCTTTTGCTGGTGTATGCATACATTGACCAATTGAGAACTTTGAATCTGCAACCATGGTCAGACTGCAAAAACAGCAAGTTAAACGGGTTGTCGTCAAACAAGAACACTACACGGGTAGCTAAAGAAGAAGAATAAACCAACACAGGACTGGTGTCGTCGGCCACTACACGCTGTGGGATTTACTAAAGAGAGGATCCGAGCACTTATGAACTGAGTGGTTCGATGTGCAGTGAGGATACTCTGTCGACTAACTAACTAACAATGCATACATTTTTTTGCTGGTGTATGTATACATTGGTAAAAAGAGGTTTAGGATAAACATTGTTTGTTCAGCATTTTCTTTTGCTGGTCTTCCTTGTTTTCCTTTCCCTTCTGGTGTCCATAAAAGGGCTTGATAGGAAAGTCTTGTCTTATCTATTCTGAGTGCATGGCCGATGTAGTTCCAGCGGTGCTTTCTTGTAAAACTAGATACACTGTCTTGCTTGGTCTTTTATCTTATTTGTATCTTTAATCTGAAATCTGTCCAGTGAAGATTTTGTATTCTTCTAAGACATTTGTTCTCAAAACTAATTTTTTTTTTTAATCTAGAGCTACTGTTGCTTTCCACTGGAATCACACAAGTGTTGAAGATCTTAAATTTTTCTGATTGCTTGACAATTTGTTAAAGGCACTAGATGCAAGTGCTATTCTAGATGATATTTAGATGTCACCAGAAAATGTCCATTACAGCAGTGCTGAAAATGTGAAGCTTAAAAAATATACCAGAACTGTGAGGGGGGTAAGCCTTAGAAACCACACTGCAGCTTGGAGGGAAATGCTGATGGTCAGTGCTACAGATGTTTTGAGTGTGATGTAGCAACAGATCTAGAGATGTTTTCAGTGTGATGTAGCCACAGATCTAGAGATGTTTTCAGTTAAATCTGGGTTACCTTTATATATGAAAGTGATTCCCCCCCCCCCCCCCTTCCCAATATATATATATATATATATATATATATATTTTTTTTTTTTTTTTTAAAGAGCATTTCTTTTCTTCTCAAATGTGTGGTAATTTGTTCATGATAATTGTTCCACCTTTTACATATACAAGTTTCATATTAGGTGTACTGTATTGTGTAAGTAAGCTTAGTTTATAAAATTGTGTAATCTCAAGGATTTGCAGCTGAAGAAAATTGCTGCCTTTGGCCCATGGTATGTTACCTTTAATTGAACAAACGTCCTCAGATGTTCTTCATTGATTCCCACATTACAGCTATAGCATCTGTGGCTTAAGCGTTGCAAGTGCACTTTGTAATTCTGAAATACTTGGTTTAATTCATCTACAGGTGATTTGGCACCAGAATATTTTGCACTAATTTTGACACTGATGTCGAACAGCGAAGCTTTCAGAAATTAGTGGCAAACCAATGAACATAAAGTTGCCTAGAAAAATCATGGAACAACTCTAAAAAAAATTCTGGGGTTGGTTTTGCAATGCCGTGTAAAGGACATGCGACTAATTTTTTTTTATAGTACAGTATTTGCGGGAAGGATAAAGCAGGCAACAAATGTCCGCAGAAGTCAGATGTGTCAGCCAAAAGAGGTAAATATTGCAGCCATGATGTAAATAGGCACAACACATTTACGTCTTCGGATGAATGCAGAAAAAAAAAAGGAATATTACAATATCTGATCTTCTTTAGGATTAAGCTGAGAGATCCTCCACAGTTTGCTGTTCTGTACTTGTAATGGAGCTTATCTTCTTAGATGTTGTTTTCATTTTGAATTTCCCTCTCTCTCTTTCTCTCTCTGTCTGTCTCTCTCTATGTCTCTCTCTCTCTCTCTCTCTCTCTCTCTCTCTCTCTCTCTCTCTCTCTCTCTCTCTCTCTCTCTCTCTCCCTCCCCCCCCCCAACCTGTCTACCCATCTGTCACTTTTTTTGTCTGTCTCTTGTCTCTGTAGAGGCCTTCTAAAGCTTGTTTCTCTCTCCCCATGTCAGTCTGCCTCTATCCTTGTTTTTTCTCCCCACCCCAATTTTGTTTCCTATCCTACCCAACTGTTTCCTATCCTACCCAACTGTTTCCTATCCTACCCAACTGTTTCCTATCCTACCCAACTGTTTCCTATCCTACCCAACTGTTTCCTATCCTACCCAACTGTTTCCTAATTCAGACATGTATTTATGTATATTGACTAGAGATGTACTGTAAAATTTTGATTTTGAAAAAAAAAAAAACAACAACAATAGAATTATGCCTGTATCAGGGTTATCCACTCATCATATGTATGCACGACCAGTTTTATCATGAAGGTCATTGAAAATGTGAAATAATTTGTTTACAGATTTTGAAAATGGTAAGTCTTCTTCTTCTTCTTTCGTTCGCCAAACATATTTCCATGGCGTGTGTGCGTGGCATCCTGATTGCTGTGGTGTACCTCTTGGCTGGTTGCCTCCGACTTCAGCACCTTGTTTTGCTAGGGTAGACTGTGGTCATACTCGAGGAGAGTAGGCTCATCCCTTCGTCTTTTGCCTTTACCTCGTTCGTTTACCCATCCAGTTTCCCGCTGGGAGTTGAGACCCCAACCTTCAACTGGATTGCTGGGAAGAACATGGTCCACCACGTGAAGGTGAGGTAGGCTTGAGCAAGAGGGGAGTATCAGAATAAATCCCTTGAGAGCACAAAGGGAAAAGTTCCTGTCTTAAAAACAGGAATGTGTTGTCATAAGAAACTAAATATGTGTATACTAAGAAAAAAAAAGTAAATAAATGTATCTGCAGAGCAGCACCCAAAGGATATTAAGCATTATTGAGAGCATAGCCAAGGAAGTCAAACAAAATAGAATGGTTTAGACAAACAAAATAGAATGGTTTAGACAAACAAAATAGAATGGTTTAGACAAACAAAATAGAATGGTTTAGACAAACAAAATAGAATGGTTTAGACAAGCCATTAAGCTTGCAGCGGCTATAAGAACTTAGTGCAGCTTCTATCTTATCAAAGCATGCAAGAAGCAAGGGTGCTCCAGAATGAAGACCAAAGATGACAGCACAAGCGCATAAGCAGAGTAGGAGGAAATCAGCCTATCTGAATCGTAATGTCGCTATGGACACATAAAGCAGTAGCATACAAAAGAAGTAAATGCATATGGCAGCCGCCAGAGGTGCCAACACCAACAGTCTGTTACTATAAGTGAGTTCATCATCGATGGAAGCAGCAGTTATGACAGACTAGCAGTTACACATGCAGTACTGCTTAAGGCATACTGCCAGTTCAGAGAGTGTGACCTTAACCCTCTTTTATTGTATGTAAGAAGTCATCATCATAGCTCTATAATACACAGCAGTCTTGTGTAGCTGTTTCATGTCATGTGCATCATCAACCTTATCATTTGATGGGTGGCCAGCATGTCTACCCCGGTCCCCTAGTCAACCAGAAAGCCATGAGCAGCCCTCTAGGGGGGCTTCAGATCTGAACAGAGTGGCAACCCCTGCCATAAGGCTTCCCCCAAGAGCATCAATCTACAATTTGCTCTAGGAGAAAAGCCAGTGCCAAAGCTATCTGTTTACTCTGGCAGTCCTGGTGTCCATGGCAAATTGTTGTTCAAGATGAGTTCACCAGTTCTGTGCCACCTGGATGTTTAATATGCAGGTGGCTGGTATGTGAATGTTTTTACTGTTATTTCTTTGTCTGCTTTTTCTGGTTCGTTTGTGTTGATTACCTTCATTCACGCTGCTTTTGTAACACCTGTTGTATGGCCATATGGTGCTGTGTTGTTTGTGAGCTTGCCAACTACAGGTTTTAAAAAACAAAATATTTATTCTCCTTCTTGGTGTGTATATTCTATACAGCTAGATTAGCTGCTGGTATTATACCTGTTGACCCAGTGGACCCGGGTTAAAATCCATTCAGTTTTTGGGTCAGCCCAGCCTACAGTGACCTAGTACTATGTCTACTGAGCCTGTAATGTGTACTAGGAAATATTATTGGAAGTTAAGGTGACTAGCCTGATGTTTACCCATTGAGTTCTTATTGGTCTATACAAATATGAAGCTAGCACAATGTGCTTTCTAAGATGTGAAAATATTCTTGATTTTTTTTTAAAAAACTTTTGTTGGTTATATGTCAGATTGTCTTCTGGTATGTTATTTCCTGACATTTTTGTAAATATTTTTTGTTGGGTGTGTCTGCATATTCTGATTTTGTTTTTTGGAATGATTGTGAGCGTGTACTTTGTGGTGGCATTTTGCGGGAAGGATTCTGGGGGGTCTTGAGTCTTAGGATTTCTTTTTTTTCTTCTTATTCTTGTTTGCATTCACCAGCTGTAAACTCCAGTGGAAAGTTCTGGGTGTTCG